GGTAACAAGGGCCTATGACTACAACACGGTTTTCATCCCTCCAGCTTCAGGTCCAGTAGGTGGTCATCTTGGGGAGTTCAGTCAGAGATGGTCTCACGTAACCTCGGACATTTGGGTTCTTCAAACTATCTCGACAGGGTACCGTCTGGAATTCACCAGCAACCCTCCTCTACAACCTCCAAGACGACCAACTCCTGTTCCCTCAGATCCTGCACGCCGGGCGGCGTTGAAGAAGGAAATCATCTCTCTGATAGACAAGAACGCCATCATTCTGCTTCCAACAGGGTCCACTCTTGGCGTCACCTCAACCTTTTTCCTGGCGCCGAAGAAGTCGGGCGATTGGCGACCCATCATCAACCTACGACCTCTCAACAGTTACATCAAACCCAAACACTTCCGCATGGAGACTCTTTCCACGGTCCTCCAGTCCCTGAAAAGGAATTGGTGGGCTACTTCCATCGATCTGAAGGATGCCTACCTTCATGTACCTATCCACACAGATCATCAGAAGTTTCTCCAGTTTCTATACCAGGGTTCCGGGTACCAATTTCGTTGCCTACCGTTCGGCCTCTCCACAGCCCCTCGGGTCTTTACAAGAATAGCCAAAGCAGTAGCAGCTTTCTTGCGTCAAAAGCAGATCCACATATTCCTGTATCTGGACGATTGGCTCATAGTAGGTCCGACCTTCCAGGACACGGTAGATGCCCTCCGACAGACCGTTCAACTTACCCTCAATCTCGGCTTCATCATCAATGTCGAGAAGTCGTCTGTGATTCCAACTCAACAATCGACCTATCTTGGAGCAGTTCTAGATATGACAACAGCCAGAGCGATGCTATCGGGGGAAAGATGTCAGACACTCTGGGATTACATCGGAATTTTCAGGTCATCTCCAATCCTCCCAGCCAAAGCTTGGCTCCGCCTTCTGGGCCTCATGGCAAGTCTTGTCGACTTTGTTCCCTGGTGCAGGATGCACATGCGTCCCTTACAGCTTCATCTCCTGTACCACTTTTGCCCTCGCAAGGATCCTCTATCGAAGATGGTTCCAGTAACTCACTTAATTATCGACAAGCTCCGGTGGTGGCTAGCTCCGAACAATCTCCTATGTGGAGTCGTGTTCCCTCGCCCCTCTCCAGCAGCTATCCTCACAACAGATGCTTCAACTCTGGGTTGGGGAGCTCACCTAGACTATCTATCACGGGCCGGCACATGGTCGATGGAAGAGAGTCTACTTCACATCAATCACCTAGAACTCCTGGCAGTGGACAAGGCTTTACGTTCCCTAGAGTCCGAAGTCCTCAACAAATTAGTTCTAGTCAAGTCAGACAATTCCACGGTAGTGTCTTACATCAACCGTCAGGGGGGAACTCACTCCCCGTCTCTCTGCCTAGCCACTTGGGAGCTACTCAGCTGGTGCATTCCTCGTCAAATATCTCTTCAAGCCTCCCATCTGGCCGGGAAGAAGAATATCCTCGCCGACGCCTTTTCCAGGGGTCGCGTCTCTCCAACAGAATGGTCTCTCCGCCCTCCTGTAGTCAAACACATCTTCAACGTACTCGGAACTCCACATGTGGACCTATTCGCATCTCACCTGAACAACCAGCTTCCAACCTTTTGCACCCGTCACACTCATCCTCTGGCGTGGAAGGTAGATGCCCTCAGCTTCGACTGGTCAGGAATGCATGCTTATGCCTTCCCCCCGATCTCTCTCATTCAACGGGTCCTGACAAAGATAGAGACGGAGCTATCCAGAGTAGTCCTCCAAGACAGCCATGGTTTCCTCGCCTTCTGGATCTCCTGGTTCACTCGCCCCTCATACTTCCCAACCGGCCAGACCTCCTGTCACAACCCGGTCTCACATTCTGCATCCGGATCCATCCACTCTCCATCTTTGTGCCTGGATGCTCTCAAAGTCTCCTTCCGATCAGCGGGACTTTCGGAGGAAGCTACGTCCTTGGCAACCAAGAGCAGACGGAGATCCACCAGAAGAACTTATGATAGTAGACTTCTCCACTTCACCAAATGGTGTGAGGAAGAGAGCTGTCAATCCCCATTCTGCATCTGTAACCTCGATTGGGGATTTCTTTCTTCACCTTTTTAATTCAGGCCTTCAAATTTCAACAATTAAGGGCTACAGATCAGCTATTGGTGTCCTTCATCAGGGTTTCCATGATGGCACAACAACTTCATCCAATACATCAATTTCTCACATGATACGTGGTATGTTTAATGATCGGCCTCCTACCAGGAAGCTGATACCTTCATGGGATCTGGGCACCGTCCTGTTATCTCTCTCCAAACCTCCGTTTGAACCAGCAGGTTGTTCGTCCCTTCACCATCTTACAGTTAAAACCGTATTTTTACTGGCTGCAGCTACAGCTCGCCGCAGAAGCGAACTCCATGCTCTGTCAGTGGAACCGGGCCATATTCGATGGGAACCTGGCGGTGTACGACTAATTCCAAGGGTAGGTTTTCTCACCAAGAATCAATCAATAGGTTTCTCACCACCCGACATATTTGTACCAAGTTTGATATCGTTCTCTTCAGTAGCAGAGGATAAATGGTGGTGCCCCGTGCGAGCGCTCAAGTACTACATTGCTCGCACCAAGCCCCTCAGAGGAGACATCAAGCAACTGCTTATTACGACCATCCAGCCTCATCACAAAGCCTCTGTGACCATGATCGCTCGATGGATTTCGGTGGCCATACAATGCCATTCCGACCATCGAGGATCAAAATCAGGAGCCCACGAGGACGAGCTATTACGTTACAGGGTCCTTTGTGGGCGTGGGGCATGCAGTGGACAATGAGGGTGTGGCTGGGGCGCTATTCTTTTCAGCGAATGTTTGTGCGCATGCGCGCTGATATGCAAATGTAGGTAAACAGAGGTGAGTATTTTCTTACTAGAATGGAAAATCCCTTTGGATTTTAGGAATTCTAGGATCTCAATTTCAAATCAAAAGTTGCTGAATCACGTTTTGAATTGGGCCTGAATTCGGCGTCCGAGACACGTTCTCACTGAGCCAATTGCAGCTACGCGATTTTGCGCGCTGATCCGACGAATTATAGCAACTGCGCGCTCATGTGCGTCGTGCCAATGCTTGCGCACGCTTCGCCGAATAACAAAACTTAAATGTCCTACGGTGCTTCTTAAGAATCACCGTTGGAAATGCCTTCTTTTGTTGATTACTTCAAAATGACAGCTTCCCAAAAAGAGTAATTTCACAGAGAGTTTAGATCACTTACTATCTTTCAACCAAGTTTGTTTTTCAACAATAATTACGCCAGTTACTTTTCGGATGGCTGCAAATGATGGACTCTAGCTTTAAATATTTACATTTGTTTCGATACGCAACATACAAGTTCTAAATTCGGTGGCAAAGGGGAGTGGGCGGGGCCTAGCCAGGTGTGTGTGTGTGGGGGGGGGGAGGGGGAACTACACAACCTACTATTCATCCACTGGTCTAAAAATGATACACAGTGTAATTCTGTTTGTGAAAATGTCTCAGATTCATGACTGATACCAATTATACAAGGTATTACTCAAAACAAAGGAAAAAACCCTGAAAATACACTTTTTAAGGTTTTTGTGAAAATGACCATATTTGTAGCACTACTGCACAAAGGATATACAATAACCCAAGATTTTCTCACCAGATATGAAAAGACCAATGTCTGAACTAACCATAGCCGAAGGGAAACTATTCTGAGTGTCCTGGCAAGTGCCATTTTTGGGGGTTAAAAATGGGGAAAAAATGCAATTTTGCTGGTTCTAATAAATATAAACATGCTGTATTGTAGGGCCTAAAAATAATATAAAGGTGATTTTTCAGAAGTGTTTCTATTTTTTTCTTGTAAGGGTAAGGATGAAACTTTGTCGTGATATAGTTACTTTTGCGACATTACTTCGCATTTTGGCTTGATGACCTTTGAAAATGACACGAAAAATGAATTTTTGCAGCCTCAAAATTGCCCAAAAATGGCCAAAATACATAATGGCCTGTTACTGTGGCAATGGGCAAAATATCGGTTTAAAAAGTCTATTTTGGTTACTTGCTCCCCAAGTCCTTTCATCCCACAAAGTATAAAAAAATTCGATTTTTTTTAGCGTGGACACTTATACGAAGTATTTACACGAAACGACTCTTAAATTCTTTTTGTAATAGATTTGTTAGGTCATGGATATTTGCACAAAACTGTGAAAAATGTGTGACGTCATCATAAAGTCATCAAAACTGAAAATTTTTAAAAACATATAAGAGTAGGTCCAATTGTCATCTTCTTTTTATTAACCCTAACTCCCCAGGCCTTTTTGCTAGGATGTAGCCTCAATCCTGCAAAATGCTCCAATTGGCCTCATGGAAAAATAGCATGTAGCCTCAATACTGCAAATTCCTCCATTATTTCTTGAATATGGTCCGTGGAGAGGTGACCACTGCCTGAATCCTGCAAAATCCTCCGACTTTGACTGTCAATAGGCTGAGGCAGAGGCAGCGATATCCTGGAGCAGTGCGAAGGATTTCAAGTATAATCAAGGACTAATTTATGCACGGCAGAGCATAAACAGCACAAGGTCCAGCCCAAGACCTTGACACAGTGCATCCTCCGAAATCAGCAACGCACTTTTGCCATGTAACCTCAATCCTGCAAATTCCTCCAATTTGCAAAAAGGATTTTGGAGGATTTGGGATGGTTAGGGTTAAATGTTTAAACTTTTGTATTTTTTTGGCTACTAGCAAACTTTAACATTAGATGTAAATGTAGTTTGTATGTGAAATTATCATTTAGATTACTGCACATTGCCAAAAAAGCATAAAATCTTTTTTTTAAATCATAATGCAGAAAAGCACTATGTTCTGTTCTTAAACAGACATAGACCTTTATTATTATTTTTTTACCATAGACACTATATGGAATATTCACTCTTAAAAACCTATAATCCAGGCAAAATAGGGAAATCAGTGTATGACTTACCAGGATTTTTAATTTATTTGTTTAAGCCGCAAATGATGCAAAGTCTTCAACAAGTGTAAAAGCAGTAGTTCCCAAACGAAGTTCTACACAAGTTACAGCACCACAAAGAGCAGATGAGGTAGCATCTCTTACAGTTCCAGCAAATGCAGATGAAAGGGAGGCACCTCAAGATGGAGCAATGGCGAAATCTACAGTGAAGCAAGAAACACCTGAAACACCCTTTGTTTCAACCACTGTCTTCTATTCACAGGTATGTATTATCTTGTCAATGCACATGTACTCCTTTTTATTATAAACAGATCAGATCTAGTGAGGTAAAATCTAATAATCTAGTGAGGTAAAATCTAATAATGTATCAGAGCTGCCAACTAGTACAGATTTTCCATATTTCGCACGGAAATTCAAGAAAAATGCGGAAGTACACATTTTTGTTTATAATTACAGAGTTTGTAAAATATGATCATAATTGTTTGTGCACACAATTTTTCGGTCATGAAAATAAATGTGATACTGCCATGCAGCCGTCTTATTACCTGCCGTAGCGCAGTGCAATCTTGTGCTCTTATTGCTAACATATAAATTAAAAACAGAACATTTCCTGGCTCTGCTTTTTGTATGCGTAAATAAAAGCATAAAAAGTACAAAAAAAGGACACAAACTGCAGTATGGCACATTCTCCAGCATACAGTCTGTCCGTTTTATGAATGAATGTGGCGTTACAGTGCCCTCTATCTACTCTGGGCTGTTAGTCTTGTGCCGTAGTTTTTATGCACATGTACGAATTTGTCGGAATACAGACACTACTGCAAGTGCGGAGCTCGTTGAATCATGTCATACCAAAAAAGCTGCATAGTTAACAATTAACAATCAAATTTGATATCGTAAAAATATCACGAAAACATCGATGGAGAAGGAAGATTTCTGCAACTTAATTCACATAGATTGATTCCTCTTTTCTGTGTATGTATTTTCCGCTTTACTGTATTTATTTCGCTCATACTTGCACCGATACCGCATGGCCGGTTCTAACGGCAGTTTCCCTTTGTGACTAAGTTGGTATACACGACTTAAATTCTCTGTAATATTCTAAGTATTGCAAGGCTTATTTTTCTCACATTTTTATCTGTTTTAGGGTGCCAGTTTGCTATTGTGACACTAATGAAAACTAGAACTATGTCTGTTTGATGAAAAAACACTGTCTGTTCCGCAATTTTTGTTTATATATATCTATATTTAAGAAATATCTATGGAAATTTTTTTTAAATGGTAAAAAAATCAACAAATTACGTCATTATGACGTCACTTCGGATTTTGCACACTAATAACTTACTTCCTACCAAGTTTTATGACAATCCAACCAGTCCTTGTGTATCAAACAAATCTCATTGTTAATGAGAAAGGTTCATAGTATGATCAAATTTGTCCAAAAAGGCAAAAACGGTTAAAGTGAGCAGAAATCATTTAACCCTTACGATACTAAATTAAGCACGATTCTGCACAATTGAAATAAACCTTTAGGGTTATGGTTAATATTTAAAGTAGTCAACGACATTTGACCTTTTTTTCTGATTCTGCTTGAGAAACGCTCTATTTACTTTGCTATTTGAAATAAATGTCTCAATTATTCAAATTCTTTCAAATATACAGTGAATTTTAAACAAGGAAAATATCGAATTCATCATAGTTGAAAGTGTTGAGTGTTCTGCCTCATGTCTCACATTTTACTTTCCAAAGCCTGCATTATCATCAGAAGGAAAACTGAGACATCCCGATACAGCAACCGAAATGCAAAAGGAAAAATATAAGTAATGTTAACAAATATAAGAAAGTAACGCGACATAGATATTTTGCTAAAATTTTGACAGATTTAGGTTTGGGCATGGAAAATGAGACCTCCACAGTTGGGCTTTATGTATGACCATTATTTAATCGGTTTCCAAGTCTCTGCATAATTGTCTTTGTGTAGTTTGTCTAAAATTGTGTGCTTGCTCACTTCAATTATAAAATCAGGTCAAACATCACAATTAAGTACTGACTCTTGAGAGTCTTTTGTATATTTGTATGATATTTCTCAGGCAAATCTTATATCATGCTTTAGGCGAGCACAATGAATCAGTGTTGTAGTCGAGTATTTTTTTCCGAGTACCGAGTACTGCCGAGTACTTAGGTTACCGAGTACAAGTACTTGTACTTGTACTTCCGAGTACGAGAACGAGTACTTGTATTCCGAGTACGAGTACGAGTATGAGTACTTCTATTTCCGAATACGGCCATACGGCAAAAAGTTCATTGTGCGTAATTGGCCCAGGCCCAGTCAGACCGCTATACAGACCCACTCATGGCTAGCTGTTAAAATGTGTTTGTCCAGATGCGCACAGAGAAAAATCAGTCAATTTCAATTTCTCCGCAAGCCAATCAACCATTTCAAACTGAAAGTATTGATAAAATAAGGCCGTGGTAAGTCAAGCTATACCATTATTTTTCCCGAGTACAGCTATTCGAGTACGAGTACTTTGACAATCGAGTAAAATTTTGACATGTCAAGTACAAGTACTTTGCTGCCCAAGTATGAGTACCATCATTTCGAGTACGAGTACTTTGACATTCGAGTACGAGTACTCTGAAAAAAGGACTCGAGTAGTACTAGAGTCGAGTACCACAACACTGCAATGAATGCAGGGGAAATGTCGGTGTTTGAATTCCCCCTTTCGCTGTGCACACAGTACATTGTAACTGCCGTTTGATGAACGTTTTAAGTATAGGCATGGTCAGCCTGGCGTGGTCAGCCTAAAATGTTTAAGGGTGCTGCAAGGCATGTCCAAATGCGCTTATTGCCACGAAACACAGGGAAGTTTTAGACTTTCTTTTACATCAACATCTAAAGCAAAAATCAAGGTGATATCCCTCAGGGTTGATTTTTCAGGAATTTTCAAAGGAAAAAAGGTCTTTTCATTCTAACTTCCAGTCTGATGACGTCATCAATTTTTTTGGGGCGCACAGGTGTTGTCTGCATAAAGGTCAAGGGGGGGGGGGGCTCGTACCATATTTTCAATGGCGAGCGCTGATCAAATCCTACAATCATGCTCAGTATATTAAGTTAGTACCACATTTTCAATACCTTATAGTGTACAAATGCCCCCTCCTCATGAATGGCTACGCCTCTGGCAGACATGTACGTCATTATTATCAATAACATTTTCAACAGTTTTCAACGGGGGTAGGAGAGGGTTTCACACAAAAACCACCCCCTCTGGATCAGCCCCTGGCCGGCTAGAGCGAATATATTTCAGCTCTGGCAGCAGAGCTTCTGCAAGTAACTCGGGTGTCGGTTGGTCAGTCTGTCGGTCGATCGGTCCCCCCCCCCCCCAAAAAAAAATACCAAAAACGAACCCCCTAACTCACCCATAACACTTTAAGTACCAAATTGTAACTGTCAAAAAAAGCAAACAAAGTACCGGTACATGAAATACTTGACGAAAATTGTTTGTGTGCGCTACGAAATTAGGAAATTAGGGGGCTTCTACACACCTGTCACTATACATCACCCCTGCATCTGGCCATGTGTCATTTTAACAAATCTCAGGGTGTATGAGTGAGGATACAATTGGATTATGAATGTCACTTTTTTTTGCATTGTGACTTTCAACAAAATGGGAAATTCTTATTTTAATTGACAATCATGAACAACTGAGTAATTGTATAGTCCACTTCGTGTCCTACTTACCTGTTGGACCTATAAATGCATATTTCCTTAACTATGTAAATTAACCGCTAAAGTAAAGATTTGCTATAGCGTGCCACAGCGCCCTCCTGCGCCAGCGCCCACAATAGTCAGAGCCCCCGCCATTATCATCCTCTTTTCTTTAGCGCTCGTGTCGGTAGGACGTGTTTTTCAATGCTCACAGTAGCATGCACGTTTTTACTGGATTTAATCGCTATTTGTTATTAATTTTCTCAAGATTTTCTTGAGATTTTCTCAACGTTTTTATTTCGTTTTATGACCTCGTTTTTTTGCGTGTATACATTGTACATTAAAGGATACGTATGTGTTTGTATTTTTTTATCCTTACAGTTTGAAGAAAATCCTACTATAGTTCTGAGGCTGTTCTGGTTTTTGGGGTCTTTGATAAAATGCCTCCCAAAAATTTCGTGACTTGTGATAAATGTCACAAGATTTTGCCGAATAGCCTAGACGACTCCCACGATTTATGTCCTAAGTGTAGGCCATGTTCTAGAGCTCTTAAGTGTTCCATTTGCAAGCCATGGGGCTCCGAAATGTGGACGAAGATTGACACCTGGCTAGCGAAATCTACAAACTCAGCAAGAAGTGAAGCTTCGACCACTTCTGGAAAGAAAAAGAAGTCATCGAAGCGGGTAAGTACGGAGCCACCGCGGTCCGTTCCTGGTATTGGTTTTTACCGATCCTACCGGACGCTCGACGGGGCTTTCGTGGACTGGAGCCGGGCCGATGGCCGAGGGTTCCAGTGCCGCAAGTCTTTCCCGGGGACAGGTTTCGGGCACGGAAGTGTCGCAGGCCAGTCCCCATAAGGGAAGGAAAAGGACCGATGGTGGGCGCGATGCGCTGAAAACCACCGGCCCTGACTCGGTACAAACCGGGGCCAGACGGAAGTCTGCGAGCTCCCGGGCCGATGAGTCGGCAAACCAAGAAAAACATCGGTCTACGTCGGCAATCCCAGCGACCGACACCAGGATTTCCCCGGGAGCAGATTGCTCCGAAGGGGATTCCCCGGATTGTCCTCAACCACCGGTTGAGGGCGCAAATCCGAACAATAAAAAAAAACGATCGGCCCATCGCGTTTACGTTCGGCCCCGACCGTTGGTCTGGGGAACCGACGTCAACCGCGCTACGCGCAGAGACGCCAGGAGACCTTCACCTACTCATTCTACAGCTGTAGATACACACGAGGCAACACCTAAGGGTAACCTCGAGTCCCGGCCGGGTCCATCTTCGATGGATCGGCCGTCCGACGTGGATTCTACCGGGAGTCATCCTTATGAGACTACCGATAATAGATTTCGTGAAGTGATGTGGGATATGGTTCGTATATTAAAGGTTCCCATTCCTGAACAGTCAGAATCTTCACAAGGTACATGGCCTAGTTTTAAGAAATGCACAGGTGTACCAGAGCGGGATTCCCCGAAGTCAACCTTTCCGGAATTCCTGGTGGACAGGGTTTTTTCTAACCGTCTTAAAACAATAGCTGGTCAGAAAAAATGGCAATCCTTTGC